CCTGTTAACTATATGTTTGCAGAGCTTGACAAATTTGTGTGGAAATGCAAAGGGCCAGTAATGACCAAAACCCGTTAACAAAGTAGAACAAGGTGGAAGTTCTTACTCCACTGGAAATCAAAACCTATTTTAAAGCTACAGGAGTCGGCTCTGTGCTGTTGACATAAGGATAGACAGATGAGTGGACTCGTGCAGAGAGCACAGATGTAAGGGACACGGGGCGCCTGGGTGGCTCAGTTGGTTAGGCGTCTGCCTTCAGCTCAGGTCATGATCCCAGGGTCCTGGGATCGAGTCCTGCATTGGGCTTCCTGCTCCACACAGAGCCTGCCTGTGCCTCTCTCTCTCTGTCTCTCATGAATAAATAAATAAAATCTTAAAAAAATAAATAAAGGGGGGCAGCTTCCGGAACAGTGGGGAGGACCGGCCTCTCCGCACTTGGTTCTGGCAGCTCGGACCTCTGTCTGGAAAGCCTCTACCTCATCCTGAACTCAGCGATTTATTCCAGGTGCATTGTAAAGTGTGGAGGGCAAAAATCATCAAGTACCTAGAAGATAATAGAGGAGAATATCTTTGAGACCTCGGGATAGGGCAAAGCTTCTTTAATAGGGTGTTAAAAGCATGAATGACAGAGTCAAGTTTAATCATTGGAAGACACTGTGAAGAGTAAGAAGGCAAGCCATGGGGTCAGAGAGCACATTGGTAAAACGTATAATAAACAAAGGACTTAAAGCTCCAATATATAAAGAATTCCTACAAGTAATGAGAGCCAACAATCCTAGAAAATGGAACGAAGATTTGAACAGGTGCTTTACATAACAGAAGCCTAAAACTAATAAATATATGAAAAGATATTCAACTTACAAGTTAATGAAAGGAAATAAAAACCAAAGTGAGATGCCTCTATGTATCCACCAGAGTGGTTGAAACTTAAAAGTGACAGTATCACATGGTGGCAGAGATAGGCAGTAGGAATTCACCTACATAACTAGTGAGAATGGGAATTGGTGCAACCACTTTGGAATACAATTCCGTGCTACCTACTCAGGTAGGGGGTAGGTACTTCCTGTACTTTCTGTGGCTTGGCAAATCTACTCCTTTCTAGTCTAAAGATACTTAACACAAAGCTTAACAAGTGTGCGCCATGAATATTCATAGCAACAGACATATTAATAGCCCCAAACTGGAAACAACTCAAACAGTATAGTGGATAAATAAATAAATTATGATACAGTCTTACCATGCAATTCTGTAGAGTAACCTCAGTGAACAAGCTAGCTATTCAAACATGGAGAAATCTCACAACATAATACTGAGCCAAAGAATCCAACTGAAGAAACAAGGTTTGATGGGGTTGATATATACAGTACAAAAGCAGACCAGACTGAGCTGTAGCCTGCAGGGGGTACAGGTTTATGGGATAAAAAGACTTTTAAAGAAAGGACTACAGTCAAAGTCAGGGTGGGCTTGGGGGAAGGCCTGATGGGTCCTCCTGAGGGCTCATAGTGTTGACTGGAGTGGCTGCTTTTGTGGGTGTTCACTGTGTGGTCAGTCACGGGTCAGTTGATTTTTGTTTTGTCACCTATCCTATAAAATTTTACAATTATACCTACATGAAGAGAATTCTAGAAATTCTAGAGTTTTTTTTTTAGCTCTCGTGGGACAGAACCTGCCTTCTAACCTGTAAGCTTCCTTTCCAACTCTCACACACGTTCAGGACCACCTTACGTGCAGGAACGGGAGGTAGGAGACAGCCTGTCGCGTCCCGGCCAGAGAGACTGCCAGGGTTCTTCATGTCCAGATCTCACGGATGGAAGGGCTGGTCAGAGATGGCAGGATCTCCCGGTGCTGGTGCTCAGGGATGGCAGGAAGCCACGGGAGGTTGCTGGGGGAGTCTGAGCCTCCTGCATTCTCTGGAAGTAATGGCAGGCTCTGCATTCCCGGGATTTGAAGAGCCTTCGGTCCCGAGGTGCTTTGCAGGTGTGACGGTCATGTGCACACCCCCACTTCCATGGCGTGGAGTGGTTTTCATTCATCTTGTAAATGGTTATTGTAGGGAACTTCTTGGGACCCTCAGAAAGCTGAAGGGCTGGTAAGACGCACAGCCCTTTTTACCTTACAATACGAGGGAAGGGGGCTGATGTCGTAGATGTATTCACTCACCGTTTCAGTAGCTCAGCAGGTGATTTTCTTGAGTGTTCTAAGAATATGAGCATATTTTCTCAAAATAATGATAATTTAAAAATATTTTCCTACTTCTGAGATTTCTAAATGCTTTTCTTTTTTAAAAATCAGGAAAGGGTATTAAATTTTATTGAATGCTAAGCGGTTTTACAGGTGGTTACATAGATGGATTACTTTATTTGACATTTTTAATGTGCTATATTACTTTAACAGATCTCTTAATACAAATAAATTTTTATACCCCGCAATAAAAGCTACTTAGTGTTGCAGTGAAGTATTCCTTTGATGTGCTGTTTAATTTTTCAGTATAGCATAACCGGAAGAAGAATGGATTCTGAGGTCAGACCTAAATTTGAGTCCTGGCTCCTCCACTGACGAGCTCTGTGACTTTGGGGGTGTGACTTAATGTTTCTTACCTGGTTTTCTCCTCTAGAAAATGAGGATAATACTAAAGATATAATGCGTGTAGAACACTTAGCACAGTGTCTCATACATAGTAAGTGACTAGTAAAAAGAAAAAATACACATACATCCTTTTTTTCTCATTGTAATTTTAGATTTTATATCTGAATTCTTAAGTAAGATTGAACTGCAGGTTTATCTGTGTGTGCTGTCTTTGTCAAGTTCAGGTATTAAAGTATATTTTATTACTATTTGTAATACATAAAAATGTGTAGGGCACGTCCCAGTGTACATAGTGGGCACCAAAGGCCTGTTGATGATGACTTTAGCGATCACTTTTGTGATTAGTCACAATACCCTGAATAAAGTAGTGCTTTTTTTATTAAGTTTTTTTTTAATTCCAGCATAATTAATACACAGTGTTCTATTAGTTTCCGGAGTACAATATAGTAGTTCAGCAGTTCTGTACATTACCCAGTGCTCATCATGGTAAGTGTATTCTTAATCCCCATCACCTATTTCACAAAGCATATATTTGTTTTATATTTATTTAAAATTTTTTTTTAGAGAGAGGGAGAAAGAGAATCCCAAGCAGGCTCCACTATTAATGTGAAGCCCAACACGGGGCTTGATCTCACGACCCTAAGATCCTGACCTGAGTCGAAATCAAGAGCCAGCTGCTTAACCGACTGAGCCACTCAGGCACCCCTCACAGAGTATATTTTAAATTAATACAAAGTCAAGAAAACATCCATCTTGTATATTCTGTAACAATAATAGCGGTGAACCGAAACAGCATTCAGAGACACTAATCCTTGAAAGTGAACACACTTACTGGCAAAACCAAAACCTTTCTTGGAAATAATGTTTATTCATGTTATTTTCTTCGACACATTATGGTCTGTTCAGGTGCCATATTCTAAAATCAATTAGGTTCAATTTTACCAATTTTGGCAACATGCTATTTTTTAGAAAACCATCTAGTTACTGAGTTTTCAAATTTAATCAAAAAGAATAAAATCAGATAAACCAAATACCTGTCCAGATCCACAGAATGTTCTACAGAAACCAGAAACAAATCTAGAATCAAATGTAAGCATTTCAAAAACTTTTTTAATATTTGGTTCCCTTACTGAGTAACAAAAAATCACTGTTCCACTGTCCCAAAATCTCATATAAAGTGTACATGTGAACACACACACATACTTGTATGTCCATTCAGACGTGTCCATCCCCACTGCCAATGGCAGACATGGAGCAGACCAGAGCCTTGCTATTACCTGGGAGTGAACTAGACAGAAAATAAGAGAAAGATTGCATGGTTTCCTTGTCATCACAATCAGTCCACACCAATTTCCTCAAGTCTGCCCTCTGTGAACTCATAATTCATAGCATGAAACTAAACCTGAGGGGCACCTGGGTGGCTCAGTCAGTTAAGCGTCCGACTCTTGGTTTCGGTTCAGGTCATGATCTCTGTGTCATTGGATCAAGCCCCACATTGTGCTCAGTATGGAGTCTGCTTGTCCCTCTCCCTGTGCTCCTCCCCCTACTCTCTCTCTCTCAAATAAATAAATAAAATCTTAAAAATTTTTTTTTCTAAAAAAAAAAGAAACTAAACCTGATAACATGTGGAAAAGGGGCTTTCTGAACGTGGTACTGGACCGAGGTTCAAAACCCGTATACAGTAGCCACGGGCCACGTGTGGCTATTTCACATTAAAGTTAAGTAAAATTAAAACTTCAGTTCCTGAGCCACACCAGCCACATATCACATGCTCAGTCGCTATGTGTGCCTGTTTAAATTTAATTAAATAATTAAAGCTTCCCCATTATACTAGCCACATTTCAGGTGCCCAGCAATCACAGTGCATACAGAACATCTCCCATCACTGCAGGAAGTTCTTTTGGAAAGTGTTGCTCAGACACAACTCCTGCATCATCCTAGCCTCGCCGTGAGCCTCATTATTGAAGCCAAATACATTGTCAGCACTTGACTAGGTGTCCTGAAGTTCTTGATTCTTTGTTATAATCATGGAGCTTGTCTTCTCTAGGTTCTTAAATTGGCAAATAGTATTTTAAAGAATTCATATGTTAGATCTTATTAAAATACTTTCCACTCAAAACATTTTTATCTAAATAGATGGTTTATTTATTTTTTTTTTTGAGCGTGAACAAAGCAGTGAAATTCGTATGTATGCAAAGAACTCCCTGAAGGTATGTTCCTATTAGAGGTGGTCCTTTCAATCCAAAATGAAAGTGGTCTTTGAATTCTGGTATAATTTACAGTACCAATCTTTCCTAGAAAAATCACTTTTATGTTTCTGTGTTTTTGCAGGATCTCCATTGTGTGACATTTCTATATGGGAATTTTGATGCCGTTTATTATAACCTTGTTATTTCTCTTGCATTTGTCTGTAGGTTTGCAAAGATTCAAATCAGTGTTTCTGAACCCATTATTCCATTCAGAGAAACAATCACAAAACCCCCAAAAGTCGACATGGTCAATGAAGAAATAGGCAAACAACAAAAAGTTGCAGTTATCCACCAAACAAAAGAAGATCAGAGTAAAATCCCTGAAGGAATCCAAGTTGACTCTGATGGGCTCATCACCATAACAACCCCCAATAAGCTTGCCACACTCAGTGTTCGAGCCATGCCCCTTCCGGAAGAAGTCACACAGATTCTGGAAGAAAATAGTGATTTGATTCGTTCTATGGAGCAGTTGACATCCTCTTTGAACGAGGGCAGACATACTCAGATGATCCACCAGAAGACCCAAGAGAAAATTTGCGAATTCAAAGGAAAACTAGAGCAATACCTAACAGGGAGAAAATGGAGGAACACTGTTGACCAAATCTGGTCATTTGGCCCAAGAAAATGCGGGCCCAACATATTAGTTAATAAAAGCGAAGACTTTCAGAACTCAGTATGGACAGGCCCAGCCATCAAAGCTTCAAAAGAGGCCAGTAGATACCGAGATTTGGGCAACAGCATCGTGAGTGGTTTCCAGCTAGCAACCCTCTCTGGCCCCATGTGTGAGGAGCCTCTCATGGGTGTCTGTTTTGTTTTGGAAAAATGGTACCTAAGCAAATTTGAGGAACAGGGGGCAAGTGATAAACACAATGAAGAGCAAAGGGATGTGGTGCAGGACAGCCAAGGGGAAGAGGAAGCCTGTTCCGGTGGAGGCGAAAACCTGGGGCTCCAGGACGGCGGCTCTGAGCCCTTGGAGAAGAAGACTTCCCAGAAAGGAGAGTCTTCGCTCACTGATTGCTACGGACCCTTCTCAGGACAGCTCATCGCCACCATGAAGGAGGCATGTCGCTACGCCCTGCAGGTGAAACCTCAGCGTCTGATGGCAGCCATGTACACATGTGACATCATGGCCACCGGTGATGTTCTGGGTAAGAAGGGCGGGGACAGTGAGAAATGCCAGGGGTGACAGTGAGGTCTCTGAGGTCAGAAAACCCAAACGCACTTAATATTTTTTTTACAGAAGCTATGTCATCAGCTAGTTTACTAAAGAACTAAGATCTTTGAAAGCCAGGCACCTTAAATATTAACATCCTGACGGGGAGGGGGGATGGTGGTGGGACGAAACTTGATTACCAAAGATCTTTTGATTTGCAGCAAATAGACTCTTTTCTGTAATGAGAGGTCTGGCAAATGAGGTGTAAACTACCCATACATGTTACCACCCAAACCTGTGCGGCATTCTCTTTCTCAAGTGAGTAACCGTATCGGTCTGGGTAACTAGAGCCTTCCTGGAAATGATCAGAGAGGACGGTGACATTCTTACACACCTAACACACAAGGGCTTCTGTAAATTCTGGGTCCCTGCAGAAGAAGATTATTGGGGGCTTTATTCATCACTGACCATTACAGCAAATCCTACTTTGATTTTTCGCTCTCCAGAAGGAGATCCTCTGGGATCCCTGGAGACTTGGGGCCCTGGCATTTAGTAGCTGTTTTGACTTTTGACAGGTAGTCCTTCTCACTAAGACTTCTTTTCTTCACCTGTAAGAAGGAAGTAGTAGCGTTCTTTTGCTGATTTATTCCTAAAAGCAGATATCTAACCTGTTGGGGTTTTTTCTCCCAAAAGAAATTCAGGCCTGCCTGCCCAGCAGGGCTCCTAGGATAGGGACGGAGCATCCGCGGCAGCGTTTCGGAAATAGCCGCACAGACGTGGTGATGCGGGACCGCTCAGAGCCTTGTGTGCTAGAACAACGTCTGCGGGGGTGACCTCTAGGGCACAGTGTGTCTCAGCCTTGTTTGGATGCAGCACAGCATTCGCAGCTCAGGGAGCGCATAGATCAGTTTGAGGAAACCAGTCAGGACCATTCCTAGGTGTCCTCCGCTTTCCCCAAGAACTTCCATAATTCATGAAGGCAGAGGTGGAGTTAGAATCAGGGAACCATGAAGAGGAGCCTGACAGATGCCACCTCAACCCGAGTACCTCTGTTGATGGGCAGCTCACAGCCTGTGCCTGACGAGGTGGCATCTTGCCGCTCTTGGGCGAATGTCTTGTCTCCCGCTAGTTTCCAGCCACGTGTGCCACCATCCCTCCCTCCTACAAGCGGTGGCACGTCACGTGCCTGAGGAGCACATTTGTTCTCTAGTGTGCGTCCGGCAGGAAACTCTCCAGAGCCGTCGGCTGTGTTTCCATGATGGGATCTTCGGTGCCCTTCCGCTGTTGCGTTGCCATCCCCTGGGGCATACTTTGCTTGCTCAGCATCCCACTTCGAGCAGCAATTGCATCCTGTCACTGACTCATGGGGAGTCAGGATCAACATCATTTCTTTTTTAAAGTAAGTTATGTCTTCCCGCTTCATCCCCAGAAAGCAGAATCCAAATTTTGGTGATTGACTAGACCATAGAAATTACGTAGTCCCATGAACTCCTGAATTTATACCCGAGTAAACTGGATCTATACAATTCCTTTTTTCCCTTAGGTTTTATGTAGAAACACAATAGTACAGGAAGGTTTTTTTGTTTGTTTGTTTGTTTGTTTAATGCCAAGAAAAAGAAGTCCCAGTACCACAATCTTAACACACTGATTCTTTTTTCATTTTTTTTTATGTGTCTTTTCTTGTCTACTGAGAACTGAAACTCTGTAAGCAGTGAATTGAATGTTTTGATGAAGTTAAGCTCCTTCATATCTGTAGATTTCCCCTGATGATCAAGGTACCAACCATGTAGATGAAGTAAGTATAGGTTGATAAGATGTTGTGTTAGAAAGTCCACGCATTTCCAAAGGCCTAAATCATACTTTAATAAATATGTACAAATCTTTAATATTTTCTTAAAACTCTGCAGGAAGTTAGCATATGGCTTCAGAGTCTGCAGTTTCTAGAATCCAGAGTTTTGATCCCCCCTAGAAGTTCATTTGTTGGCAGAGATTATCCATAATTTCTCAAAAGGACAAGTTTCTTAAGGACCGTGAGATACAGACTCCAGCCCCAGAGACAGACCCTGTGTAGGAGGCCAGCTACCTGCTCATCAGCTTCTTGGCTCTCTGGAACTCAAGTGTTCTCCTGTGTTCATTCCCCCTGCCACAGGCTGTCCCCCGTTCTCCTCACTGAGGACAGTGCAGGACACACGTACCAGGAAGCCCTGCCTTCCAGCCCTTCTGTATTGACACTGCACACGTTTCTCCATATTGTGGGCATGTCTCATCCTTGCTTGGAAACTAATGGAGAAGACCCTTTCTGGTGTCATTAGTTGGACCTTTTATTTTGGCAGGCTCAGCTTAACACCTCGGACGCCCTCCTGATGCACCTTTTCTTCTTCCGTCCACTGTGCGTGTCCTATTAGAACAGAATGAGGACGCAGCAGTATACCCTTCTTGACCGAACAGGTTTATTTTGGAGGTACTGTTGTGTTTGTGTCCTTTTTCTCTCATTGGGACCATTTGTGGTTGTTATTTCAGACTCTTCTTACTCCTGAAAGGAGTTTTATCTTAGAGTTTGTTATCCCAAAACTTGTTCTGTTTCTTCTCCTTTATGTGGTTGAAATGATCCTTCTGAAAGTCCGGGGTCCCCGGACATCTGTGCCTGTCCTTCCCTCTCCTGCCCTCCTGGGAGAGTAATGGGAACCCACATCTCCTCCCCAAATTGCCGGCTCTCCTGCATTATCGTTGGGAGTGGCATTTGTCCTTTGCTTTCTGAGAAGACAAATTTCCCACGTACCACATGAAGCCAGGATCAGCTGTTGGCATTTATCAGCCCGACACTCCAGGCAGACTGTTGAGTCATCCCTGTTGAGTCAGTGCTCCGTGCCCGCTTTCCCATTTCCTTTAGGAAATCACCACCAGGACCCTGCACGTGACCAGGCAGCCCTAGGACAGTCCCTTGAAATATCACTGTGATCCTGTCCTTTTCTCTCCATCCTGGCTCTCTCCACCTGGCCGTCCCACTCCGTTCTGGCATTTGTAGGAAGAGCTACAGATCTCGATCGTCAGGGTTATTTGTCCTCTTCTCTCTTAGGAGCAAAGTCAGTCTTTGCCTGGCCTGCTCCTGGTGCACAGTCCACGGTGCTGGGCCTCTGACCCCACCACGTGGCACCTGTGTGTGTGGATTGGTTAGTGCACGGCCTCTGGTCCATGGCCACTGGCCGGCCTTCTTAATCATTTCTGCAACCTAGCTGGCTGCACACCCTCCACCTTACGAAGAAACTGTGTTTCGATATGGTCTGGAATTGTTCCTCCTGAATTAGCATGAAGTCCTCATCAGTGTGAAGCTGCTTAGAGGTGAGGGTCTCCTCTTACGTCCGTTTTCTCAGTGCTTTGAGAGGTTCTTCGGTAGTGATGGCCACGTTCTAGTACCCAAGGTCAGTACGGCCAGCTGCTGACTTTCTGTATTTTCCTTCTTTCTGAATTACCGCCTTCATCTGGAACAAGAAACGAGGAGACCTCTATGTTCCCAAGGCCTTTTGCTTCCTTGCCTAGATATTCAGGGATCTTCCAGGCTTTGCTGGCAGATGCTCTAAATTCTCCAGGAATTGGCACAAGTAAAAAGACAAGTTCAAGTCTTTTTTATTTAGCAAAATGAGTGTCCTTAGTCTCTTTTAAAAACTTAATTCTTTCTACACAGACCGTTAAAACAAGAAATCCTTCTGTAAATGGATAGAATTACTTATGATCAGTTTAGGACATTTTGTGGAAAAATAGTCATCTCAGAATCACTGTACCTGGGGAAATGATCCCAAGAAAATGGCCTTCTTCACCTATAAACTCTGCTTTCTTAAAGGTGTGGTTCTGTTCTCATTTTTTACCCATGAAAGTTGCCTTTAACTTTTTTTTTTTAGATTTTTAAAAAATTTTATTTATTTACTTGAGAGAGAGCATGAGCAGGAGGGGCAGAGGGAGAGGGAGAGAGAGAATCTCAAGTGGACTCCATGCTCAGTGCAGAGCCCGACATTGGACTCAGTCTCACAACCCTGAGATCATGACCTGAGCCGAAATCAAGAGTCAAATGCTCAACTGACTGAGCCACCCAGGTGCCTTCGCCTATAACTTTTAACTTTGGACAGTGAAATTTGTTTGTGTTTTTCAGCTGTCTGTCTTTATATTCCCTCTTCTAACCTGGCAGCTTCTTTCATTCTTGGCTTCTCATGGTTTTTATCTTTGGCAACAACTTCACGTATGAAAAAGAACTTTTTCTGCTAGCTCTAGAGTTTTAATCACGCATCGGCGACTCCAGTCCTCCCTATGTTTTTACCCATAGGGACAAATGCTCACATTGTGAGAACATACATGCCTTAACGTATCAGAAACAGTCTCAGTAAGTGTCACTGTGTACTTTTAAAAAACCTCTTCCCTTCCAAACGCAGGGTTCTTTTTACATTTCATCAGCATCTCATAATTCATTTCAACAAAAATGTATGGACGTGTATAGATGCCTACCGTTAAGCATAATTCCTGCTTTGAGAGATGAGTTAGGTGACAAAGCCTAATTATATGAAACAAAGCACAACACGGTTGAATCCAGTGAATAAATACGTCTTCCAGTGAAATTTTATGAGAAATTGGGATTAGCAAAATTCGAAACAGGGTAGATTTTTTGAAAGGGATAGTTCTTTGAAACGGGCTGTGATGGATGGAATGATTTGCAGTTAGAGCAGGTACGTGTGAAATTGGCTCTCTTTATAGCACAGCACTGAAGACCACGACGGGGCTTAGAGTCCTCCTCCTTAGAGAGGACTCGTTCCCACTTGGTTTTATAGGAGCTTCTGCTCAGCATTCCCTCTAACCCTGGACGGTGGGTTGGTTGGAGCCAACTGTGCAACCTTGCATTTACTCACAGGAACTTGTGTCTTGTTGAGCGTGGGTCCTTACCTAGTTATCCTGATTCTGTCCCAGTATTAATTAGCCTTCCAGCCTCCTGTCAACTTTGGATTTGATCATCATGCTTTCTGAACCCGTGGGTTGCTGGTGACCATCGTAAGGACACAGAGCTGCAATCAGGGTGCTGACCCATCTTGCTGGGGGTGGGGGACAACTTGTTGACATGCACTTCCTGCAGACTCGGGGCTGAGTTCCTCCGTAGAAGAGCCCACATTCCCCGCCGTGTCCACAACACACTGGAGCTCATGTTTGGTGGAGGCCCATCTGCATCCTGTCAACCACATCTGCTTGATTTAGCAGTCTGCTCGCTCTGCAACAAAAGGGAAGGGGGTTAGTGTGACCTGATTTATAAGAATCAGAAGTGCCCACCGATTTCTCGGCATGTGTGTTTTAATTAAAGTTACACCACAAGGGTTACCAGCAATAACAGAAACCACAAGATAAAAGAAAAACCTTCCTCCTTGGAAATCAGCGTGTCGTTTTCCACTTTGTTTTACAATCTTTGTCCGTAATAGTACACTTCCCATAGCTGTAACCGTATGGTAGAAGGAGTGTGATGTTTCGCTTTTTACATTTATTTATTTTATAAGCTGCTTCCATTTGGCTATTTAGTATTCACGGATTTCATTTTAACCTCTGCATAACATCCCATCAACTTGTTATGCTATAATTTACTTCCCATCATCCCCAAATTGGAAATTCGCATTGTTTCCTGTTTATTTACTGTAAGAGAAAACATTGCTCTGAACAGCTGCTTCCTATCCTAAATTCTGAAAAAAAAAAATCATACCTTTAATTGCCAAACTTCCAGCTTAAACGATTGTGGAGTGTACAGACCAGTCTTGCTGCCCTGTTACAGAAGAAGAAAATACATACGAGAGTATATAATGCCATCCAAGAGCAAATTAGGTTCAGATGGTGAAGAGATGGTTTTGATCTCGGGATCCCGTGGAAGACTCAGTGGAGCAGGTGATTCTGAACGGGCTTTAACCATGCAGTGGGATGAGGCACGCTGGGGGTTGGAGGACCGCGCACACGCGGAGTGGGAGGACCTCGGATGTGCGCCGCCGTGGTGAGCACTCCTGCTCGGCTGGACGCTCAGTCTAAGTGCTGTTGGGTCTGGCAGTCCTGGAGCTGGACGTCCTGGGTCGCTGCTGCAGCCCCAGAGGGCCTTGAATTTGGGCTGGGGTGTAGTTTATGGTGTAGTCATTCAAAGACCAGCCCTGACCAACCTGTTTCCATCAATTAACTTTTTTTTTATTAAAATATTTTTTTTATTTGAGAGAGAGCACGAGCAGGGGGAAGAGGCAGAAGCAGGCTTCCTGCTGAGCAGGGAGCCCGATGCGGGGCTCGATCCCAGGGCCCTGGGATCATGACCTGAGCCGAAGGCAGACGCTTAACGACTGAGCCACCCAGGCGCCCCTATTGATTAACCTTTTTGTTGCCATTTTTCCCCTGATGGGCGCTTGCCTCTTGGTGCTTCACATGCAGTACGGCGGGGCACACGTGATCGTTGGGCGCAGGGACAGGTGACTGAGGTATAATGGAGCAGACGTCGTGTTGAAGGGGAGTCGGAGTATTCGCAGAGGCCAAATGCTCGCAAGGCCTCCTGGGTATGGCTGCCATAACATCTCAGTGAGAGCAGTGGCAGGTTTAGAGGGTCCAGGCATTGGACGCACCTGTCATGAAAGCCACATGTATTTGGAAGATTTTATTTATAGCTGTTTTCCTCTGTTCGGTGATCCATCACTGTGCCCCAGTTTCAGGATTTAGTTTTAGTGGATTAAAATTGCATGGCTCAAAATTACACGATTAATTACATTCAACCTCCATTGCAGTTATTGATCCGATCCCGCCGGCATGATCCCCGAAGGAAGGGGAGGAGCTGGGGCCTCTGCAGCACAGGTGGGGCTTGTCCCCGCTGGTCCACCCCTTGCGGTCTCCGCTCCAGTCACTCAGTAGATCTCCCCGCCCCCCCCGCCGCTGTTTCGTATTTACCTCTGCAAACCACCTAAAGCTTTTCTAGAATGAGCTAGCTGGGTCAAGGTTACTCGTTCACACATGCTGGCTGTTGTACTAGGGTTTTCTCCCCTGCTGGGAATCTCAGGCAGATACACACGGCCTCTAGGAGACACGCTGTCATTGTGCTTGTCTCAGAGCTTCCAGATCATACCCAGATTGGTGTGTTCAGTTCTGGGTGCCCCATGCCAAGAGCAGGGTGAGCAGGTCATGGTGGCGCAGATAGGAAAGGGTCAGGATGGAACAGGGAGTGAAGGGCCTGTCACGGAAAGATGGGGGGTGTTCGGGGCGGAGAAGAGGAAGCCAGATAGCTGTCCTTGAGGAGCTTGCAGGCTGGT